TACACAATATACTGTATCAAAATAATTTGATATTATATTAACATATTTGAGTCAAATGGATTACATATCTACATTGATGATGACTTGCGTGAAGTTCAATAATTAATTTGTAGATAATTAAAGTCAAAATTAAATTAAAGTAAGTTTGTCAAATTTTTAAAGAAGTAAATCGAATAAGTGCGATGTTTAACTCAATAAATTAAATTTTGTTTTTTTAACAAATTGAAATGTTGATGATTTAATTTTTGAAATATTTGTAAGTGGATAAATTAACAAAGTATAGAATGTGATTAAAAACTCTAATTAATTTTCACTTCAACAAAATTTAATTAAACTGCGGTTTATAAGGGTCATGTTTGCAAATTACTGCCCTAAATTTTTGCATGACGAACTCTAGCAACCAAATATAGGCAAACAAGTTGAAGTATTCTATTTTTCATTACTCAATTTAATGATTTTTTAAAATGAGAAAATTAACTTCGTTTAAATTATTTTTTCTAAATTTTTTTTTTGTGGAGTTTTGTCCAAAGAATTTTCAAATTTTACGAAATAATTTTTTTTTTTAACAGAAAACCGGTTCTGATTCAAAATATTATGACTTTTTTTCGTGTTGATAATTTGTAGTTTTCTATTGTCAAGAAAAAAATTTTCAATTTAAATACAAAGTTTATCGTGACAAAAGAATTTTTGATTCTTGCCACAAAAAAAAATTGATTTAAAAGTTGTTTTCCTTACACAAAAAAAAAAAAAAAACGTGTTCTTATCAAGACACAATAGCATTCGCAAGGGCTGATAATACAGAGGAGATAAGAAGATTCTGTGAATATTAGCGCATATCATATTTCGATTACGAAATGTATGCGGTAGAGTAATAAAATAATATAACGAGTGTCTGTTGTGTCAGATGAAAGAATATGAGCTGTGTACAGTGTACTATATACAAGACGAGCCAACATAACCAAGTAAAGTTGAGAGACGGAGTAAAATAGATGAAAAGAGATCGAGGTAGACACAGATGTGGGGTGTGGATTGGCTGTTCGAGGTGTTTTTTATTATTTATTCTCTGCTTTAGCGACCACCCAAACTACAGTGAACTCTGCTCTGAAGCCCATACTCGACTTGGGGCTCGAGGTTACTCTCGAGCGAATGGTTTACGAACAAATAACGCGTCTTTGCTATTATTAGGCTCTCTCTTCTCTCTTCATCTCTCGCTCCTTCTTACAAATATATAGATATATATGTACGCATTACATTATTATATATACATTAGACTACTCTCACTCGTGGCGCGACGGGTTCTCTACTCGTAATGGCGGAAGTACTTTTTGACTGTTGCCTCCGCCTCCGGGCGACTAAACGGATCGCCGAGAATAGAGTAGAGTTGGTTTAGTTGGAGAGGCGTGTTTTCAAAGCTTTTTTATTATTACTGTTGTTACTTTTTTCTTATTATTAATATATTTTTTTTTACGTATTTTTTTTTTTTTTTTATTATTAATACGGCTCATCATCGTGGCTTTCGTCGTCTATTATCCGAAGTACAGCGTTTTATGTGTGATATACCTCGGGTTATTTTTTATTGGAATCTTTTAATGCCCGAAATTTCGTATAATATAAATCTTGATACATGCTCATTTACCTTTCGATTTATCTTGGATAACATTTGACGCGAATTATAATATAATACACAGTAGTGTTCAGTATCAAAGAGATTTATCAATCAGCCTGAGGCGCGAGAAATATTATTTTAGTTTTGTTGGATTGGGTACCAAACCGCTCCGGGGGATTTTTTAAAATAAAACTTTTATCCAAAAACCAATTAAATCATTACATGGCATCAACATACGTGTGAGAGATATCGAGAAAGTTTGCCGAATCAAAATATGCCTCAAGGGATCATTTTATAATCAAATATGAATATATTGTAATTGTATTTTTAATTAGATTGTTATCGATTTTATTTATAATCTTTGTTTAAGACTGTACTGTAAAAATTTTTTGAATCTAGAACTTTTCCGCACTGTTTATTTATTAGCGTGTAACATCCCAAGCTGCTACTCTAAAAAAATTAATATTAAATTTATAAATTCTCAATAATCGATCTTTACCTTTAAATTAACCACTTAAATAACTCTACTATCTACATATACTTGATCCATTGAAAATTATAAATAATTAAATCGATTTTCGAACCAAGGCGAGACTAAAGCGAGGATTTGGAGGTGAAGCTATGCAATATGTATTTATATGGAGAAATAAGTGAGAGATATTCGGCAGGGTTCAACATAACCCGAAATCGATAACAGATGACGGGATACAGGCATACCAAACTGACCAGGGAATGCCATTTGCGTGCCTCTATCCCCTTAACAGATATATATCTTGCTCTCTTACGACATCTTCCTCTCGCTCTACTCTCTCTGCAGATACAGATATACAGAGATGGAGACGGAAAGCGGTCGGCTGTAATGTAACTCCTCTTCAGCTCCTCTAACCCTTTGCCGTCCCTCTGTACTCTCTACGACTGTCCACATAGAGCATTCTATTACCCAAAGACAAGCGTACCGAATAATGTCTGCCCGTAAATTACGTGCGACGCCGATAGATTGTACCGCTCTTGTCCTTGATTCCCCGGTGAATCTCAACGGTAAATTATCTGAGACTGTTTGTTATTTATTTACCGAATTTTTACGGAGAAGACAAACACACTAATTACTTTTATATTTATTTGTTTATTTGCTTGTTACTTATGACTCAATCGGGCGAGTTGTGTATTTCTACAAAAATAAATTTAAATGTCTAGACCCCGGTTTTTTTTTAAATGTTAGTCATTTAATGACGGTGACATTTAAAAAACATATTTATTTTTCTTCGAATTCCAGTACATGTTAATAATAATTAATAATAAATTGGTTGGTTTAAAATTAATAATATTATTTTCCACCCGAAATTTAAACTTTAATAATAAGATAGAATTTAAATTATTATAATAAAAAGCTAAAAATATGTAGCAGTGAAAATATATTTAAGGTTTTTACCTACTGAAGAATGTCGAAATACCCAAGAGACTCGTGGTATTTTGCCCATTACTGAGTTAAATAAAAATACCGTAAATATTTTATTGCCAACAAAGAAACAAAAGTTGTTATTTTATTTATTAGCTACACAACGAGCCTGTTTGTCTTGATAATTAAATACTAACAACTACAATATTTTAATCAATACAATATATTTTATGCAGAGTTAACAAAATTTTTTGTTTATAACCTGTTTGCCTCACTGATACTGACTGGAAAAACACATACACTCACTGAAGGATTCAATTTGATGTAATCATAATCTATAACTTTATTTATTTATTTATTTACTGATCATGGAGATAATTCTCCTTTTGACCACAACTATTATAACTTTGCTTACTAAGCAAAAGTATTTTAAGTTAACTTTATATCATTGTTTTTTCTTGAATAAATTTTTTCAACTTTAACAAAATTGTTTTCAATTATTCTTTTCTCAATTATGATTTCAAAATAATTGTAATCAAGCATAATTGTACATTATATAGTATTTTGTCAAATTAAACTGTCAGCTGTAAGTATTCGTATTATTTTAAACAACAAAAAATAAAAAAACGATTTGTCTATAAAATAAATGTTAATATTTATTATTTAAATAAAGATAATATTATTCTCAAGAAAATCTACAATGTTCTTGGAAAAAAAAATTAACAAGCCCTTCACTAATGAATCCTTCTTGTGTTTAATAGTTAATATAAACGTTACTGGCATAAACGTCCAAGCAGGGTGTAAGATCAATTCCGATAGAGCTCGATGACTCCGCGACATACGACGGTAAACAAAAGATTACATACATATAAATGACATAATGACTGCGCACGGTTATAATAATGACGGTGACTAGGATAAATTTCCAGAGCCTTCATATCGCCAGAGCTTGAGCAAAGAAATCACGGCAACCTACATAATATTTATTTATAGAAAAAAAAAAAAAAAAAAAAACAGCAATCTCACGAAAAATCAGTAGCTAAATGTCTGCGGGCTAATAGTGTTGAGAGCGGAAAGTAATTTCACCCTCTCGTGCTGTATGTATGTGGGTCGAGCGTGTATAATGTACAGCTAACAGAATAAGAAAGATCTAGACATAGAATAGAGACCAGGAACAGCTTAACTATATATTACTATGTACTACATTCTATCCAGTACAATGCTTATACTGAGAAAAGTGTAACTAAATGTAGCTCATAATGTAACAAGTACTTATAGGAAACCAAGTAGAAGCAGTCAACTTCTTTGTGGGGGTTGTAAATAGAGTATAAACTATGCTGGAGGCACCGCCAGTGATCGTACGTTATGTTATGTTCCAACTTGTTCATCCTTACACACGCTGTCGTTCTTATTTCTTATTTTTTCTCTCATATCACACTGTAATAATACTAGTCAAGTCTTCTCTTCTCTTCTCTTCTATATTTATATTTGTTGGTGTATACATAGATATATTCCTATGTATAAGTATAAATATGTTCTAAGCATGAAAACTAACAACAGCTATACCAGTGTTGTCTCTAACTGTATTTCGGTCGTGGCAACAGACGCGACAGGTGCAAAGGCGTGGCAGCTGTAGCTCGTTTTTCGTGTGTCCGCCACCAGAGATAACTTTTAATCTATTCTCTCTTTCTTGGGTTCAATATTTTTTAACTGTGGAATGTTTTAGGATTTTTTTATTCTAAACCGAAGAGAAAGAAATTGTTTTATTTATTATTAACAATAATTTGGTTGATTGACGGTAGGAGTTTTATTTAAAGTGAAATGAAATAAAAATAAAAATAATTGTCGGGTTTGGCTGACATGGTGGCTATGAAAAATTCGGAGATAAACTCGGGGAAAATGTAGGACACTCTACACGGTGCCAGACAGGTAAAAAGAAATGTCAATCAGAGCACGAGTGTACGGAGCTAACTGACCAATAAAATGAAAGCATGAGTTTTATGTTGAGGGAAAGGGCGGTTTTGCGAAACTCGTACTGCCGGACGACGGACATCTGGCCTCAAGCTTTTTTGGCAGACATTTATGTAGATATGTATATAGAAATAGTAATGGGGATGTGTATAAAGGCTGAAGGCTTGTAAAGGGTGGGCTACTCCCTTTAGATTTGAGTGTCCCTCCACTCCACTCTAAATGTTCCATTCGTTCGTTCCTTCCTTTGGCATGCGTAACGCCTGACAGCTGAATTAATTGAAAGTTTTAAGGTAATTGGAATCGATAACGCCGCTTAGTAAATGGGGCGAGCTCCAGACCGGACTCATAACGTCATATCACCGTCACCAGAGGGTTAAATCACAGTAAATTGAAAAACAGTCCAGACCAAAGAGCCATTCTCGCTTCACTTAAATAGATTTTAAGTGGATTTATATCATAAGTTATCCTTTTATTGTATTGTCCTGAATTTTAAATTAGATTATGTTTATATTCTTATTAAGGAAGAGTTTATTCAATGTTGATTCAAGGTCAAAATTATTTTAGGAGAACCTTACGTCTTGATTCAAGAATTTATAGCTGAAAGAAATTCTATTATTATTTTTTCAATTGTGAATTCAAAATTTTTTCTCTTCATCCAAAAGTTTTATCATCTTGATTCAAAAATCAGTTTCTTAAACTAATCAAAAACTGAATGTCTTCAGAAAAGAGTGAAATTTTGAACAGAATATTTTTCTTGAATCAAGCATTTTTTTTTTTTCTAGTGTGTCTAATTAATTAAAGATGGCGGTAATTTTTCACACGAAGAGATCACGAATTCTTAAAAATCAAAATAATAATTTAAGCTGAGAAAGAGCTTTAGCTATTGGATAACTGTTAAAACGTGAGTTACCGAGTAGCATTCGCGGAACGAGGTTACGGTCTAGCTGCGTAGGACAATATCGTCTTTCAGCAAGTATCTTACAATCTCAGGACAGTTGAAGGAGGCTGAGCATATCTATGCTTTGAGTAAATGTAGATGTAAGTTAAGTATGTTATTTGGGTTTTTGAGTCTGGATATAATATCTAACGAACAGACACAGAAACGAGGAGCGACCAACGGGAGGATGGACAGACGGACACGGATGTTTCCGACAGTGAAACGTGCCCGAAACAGCATGCACTCGGAGAGTGTTAACAGCTGAGAAAGAGAGATGGGAAGAATAGAGGCTTTGGTGTCGCGGCGGGAAATTAAATTTCTCGGAAAATGAAATTTCTATCCATGCATATCACTGTGCGACAGGAGCATTATTTGCTATGTAAAGCGATCCATACATTCCGTCTGGGTTCGCTTGAAAGTAAAAAAATAAAAAAATGAAAATAATAAATTCATTTAGTTAAATTTTAGCACTGCGACGATAAACAAATAACAGAGACGTGTGTGTTAAAATAAAACAGTCGGAGCGCAAGATCGCGCCGGATTACGTCAATCACTTGGCCTGTTCGCACCCACGCCTGTCGCGCTCATTAACAGCGGGTTGCGCAATCAATTTCGCATCTATCTCGACCTTGGAATCACATATTTACCCACGATAAATCTATCGTATTTTCTTCGAAACAATTGTTAGAAAAAAATACTATTGTATTTAAAAGCTAAAATTTGCTCGGCTTGAAATAATTTATTGAGGAGAGAATAATGATTTTATTACTTTTTCTAACGATTTTAGATAAAAATAGTGGCAGTAAAATAACAAAACTATATTTTGTTATTCGTTATTGACAAGTGCTTATTGGCCGTGCGCACGATAAGAGGCACAGGTATATTGTGTATGGCATATATATATTTTCGTCGCGATAAGCTGAAGCAGCTTACATACAGGGAATTTCTATCAGCTTATCTTGCTTATCTTTTCGATCAAGCCTTCAAGCCAGCGTTGTATTGTTGTATATTATATTATATTTATAATAATCAAAGTTTATGGATGAGATAATGTATAATGTATGGCATGAAAATTGAAAATAAAAAAAAAAAGCATGCACTTAGATGTATGACGCACAAAGTAGGCGGTGAATATTATTGTTTTTATAAAATGAAATGTAAATATTATAAAAAATAAAAATGAAAATAATAATTATAATTGATAAAGAAACTGACCTTGATACTGTCGTAGCAGGCTGTTACTCGTCCGTTCTGGACCTCGACGTTAGCTGGTGGATGAGCGAATTTGCACTCCGTGTCAGGCCTGGTGCACTTGTTGCGCTGAAACTCTCGGCAGACCTCAAGCTGTAGCCAGCGTGAATCCTTGCCATTAAGCAGGTTGTTCATGTTGACCATTGCCATCTTATTATCCTCGTGTTTATTTGATAGCTCTCGAATCCTCAGGTTGGTACCTTTTTTCTCTCGTAACTTTGCCGGACGTCGTCAAATTAGAACACGCGCCGGTTACTAGTTTATTATATACATCATGTTAGTATCAGTGGGTGTATTTAACATTAACTATATAAAGTTATTTTTTTAAAACTAAATCAATTGATAAGCAATCTTGCTTTTAATATTTATTGCTGACGGAGAATAAAATCGTAATAGACATTTACATTTAGTCATTTAAAAAATAACACTATTTATGTTGGTTTAGTAGCAGTAATACAACAAGTATCTTGATTGCTCATAAAACAATTATTTTTAATATTTTTATTGCTTTACACCAAGCATACCCAACAATAACAATAACTATTATTTTATTTTATTTTATATATAAAAGTTCAAGTATTTAATCATCAATCAACCGGACTTTATTCTCCTCAATAAAATAAATAATAAATATCTACCTTATAATTGTTTTATTGCCGTTTACACCCGATGATTTATTTTTCAATATATTCAGTTTGAATTATTCTTCAATCACTCTTTATACTTTATCCTTAGTATTGAATTTTATATTTAAACTCACTTTGTTAATAGTAAATATCGTGAGGTATATTCAATTATAATTTGTCGTTTGTCGTTAATCCATTAACAGATATATCGACTTATTATTGTGTCTCGTTGCTCAATTTTATCTAGGCCGTGAGTCGGAGTAGGCTAAGAAAATACAATGGAAACTCGCACAATAATTATTCAAGATTTGTGAGTTTTTAGCCAAAGCTCTCAACTGTCAAAGCTTCGAATATACCAAGCCGTAACTTAGCAAGTGCACAACAAATACTTTTATTGTTATTTAAGTAAATCCTCCGCTGATAGACTGATATGTTGATCTATCAATATCACTTGACGTGTCGATGACTGAGACTGTTGGTGTTTTGAGAAGACGACTGATGTGGTATCAACTGGACGTGATTCAGTATGTCAGTGATCTGGTGTCTGCTGCAGTACGGCTATGTGGGAAAAAAGGATCTGCGAATTGGGTTATGATGGTCGAGGATAAAAAGCAAGGGATGGAAAAGTGGGTGTGACGACGTGTCGGTATACTGACGGGTCGAAAGGTCGAGCTGGGTTGTTGTAAGGTCGTAAGATTTAAGTCCAGGTTGCGGAAAACAGAGCAGGACAGTTTTGAGTTTTAAGTTAAGAGTAGGAAAGAAGAGAAATAGAAAGAGAGAGGAAAAGAGAAAGATGGGATAAATATAAAAGGAGAGAGGAGGATAGAGGGGTAGGGGACCAGCGAATTAGCGTAACGTCCCTTTCTGTTCCTCGGATTTACGTCATTTATTCGGTCCACTCCTGGCACGTGCCGCAGGCGAACTCTGTTATATTCTGGAAACATACCAAAAAGCGAAATTTCGCGTTATTGCGGATGCAAAAGCTTACATTCGGGATTTATTGTTTATTATGGATTTACTATCTATATTATTTTATTGATTGTATACTGAAAGAAAAAAATTAACTTGATTCAAAGGAAAATTCTTGAATTAAAAAAATCATTTTGAGTTTTTCTTGAATCAAGCTAAAAAGTTCTGAACTAGGAAATTTCTTTTGGTTGAAGAATTTCTCTTTTTTCCAAGTAAATATTTTTTTTTCAGCGTAGTATTTTATTGTTCTACACTGAAAGAAAAAAATACTACTATTAAGAAAAATTAATAAATTTAAATGGCCAATTTCAACAAATTCTTAAACCTCGAAATAAATTTTAGACAGTAACTACTATTTTATCTCAGTGTATTGTCTATTGTTTGCTGTAATTGTTTGATTATCATATGTTACTGAATTAAATTTAGAGACAGAGAGAGAGAAAGGTAGAGTAAAGAGCCTGGAAAGTAAAAGGGGATAAAAAAATTAAACAAGCGCTGAACACGGCAAGTTTTAAATTTGTTACTTCGAAAGCGCAACAATCGAGGCAAGCACGCTCGATAAGCTTAGGTGGTACGGGGGTAGAAGGTGGTAGGGAGGTAGAGCAATGGTCTCGATCGATATCTCGATCCGCGATCGGCGCCAAACACTATCGCGTGCGTTTAACTCTAACAATCCAATTGCACGAATTTTTGCCCTCACTGTCGTATCGTGCTACTAAGCTATACTATTTTAATGTATGTTAGCTACTCCTTTTGTTTCTCAATACCTCCTACTCCTTATCCTTTTACGTTATAACATACATCATCTAAATGTACATATTATATTATATTATATATTATATACTGTATACTGTATAACGTAATATTACCGTGTAGATAGTTAGACCGAGTTGTTACCTTTTAGATTACGATGGTTGATCGAGGGTAAGAGTATCAGCCGCAGCTGTCGTCGCCACTTGCATAATGTCCACTCTTTGATTTATTTCTACATGCTACATTACTGCACATTATACATAATGTATGTATAAGTGGACATATATATGGTCATAAGATAACTATCATCGACGGTCGTTCCATCCAAAGTGAAACCACAGGTTTAACCATTCTCATCCGGTGGAAATCACTTAGAGAGACTTATCGTGCACCTCGTCTGAGGGAAGGCCCATATCGTTCATATCGCTCGCTGCTACCGTATTACACGATCAGTACCACCTCTATTTAACTCTACTAAACTGTACCAAGTGTCTTCGTATGATACTGCCAGAAGGTATTTTCTCAAGTGTCCGTATTACATTCATGACACATATATCAAGACAGCTGTTTGACTGATATCCGCGTATAATAATAAATCTAACTGCGAGGTGGATCTTCAGATGGAATTGATATTTTTCTTATACACTGAAATAAAAATTGACTTGATTCGAGAGAAGAATTCTTGAACCAAGAAAATCATTTAGAAGGGCTTTGTCGTTTTGATTTAAAGAGAAAAATTCTTTAAAAAAATTTTAATAGAGAATTATTCAAAATCTTAATTATTAAAATTATTTAAAATGTATATTTGGCTAACTATAGTTGAGTCTACTTTCCTCGTACACGTATCGATACACACTCGCTTCGCTCGGCCAGATGGTTAACTCGGTCTTGATAAGAATGTACCCATAGCCTCAAACTCGTGACGTCACTTCAAGCCGTCAGAATCCCTACCTTTGCGCATATGTATCGAAAATAAATATTTTTATTCTGTGAAATGTTAAAATCAACTAAGAACGTTAGAAATGATATTTAATCGTGTAAAAATTAACGGATCATCAACAGGCAATCAACATGGTATAGCTTTGGAATTATTAACATAATTCTATTACTTTTTGAAGAGAAAAAAACGTTAAAAGATAAATTGTCTGGAACAAAAAGGTTAATTGACCTGAAATTCGTGTTTAAACACAAATTTTTTAGCTTTAATGTAAATTAAATGAAAAGAGCAGTTTATTTTATTACATATAATGTGACTATGTTTTCGAGATACATCTAATATTGAGTTGGTTCAATGCAGTGCAGTATCAGATAAAGATAATAAACAAACATCAAATGGAAATAAATCGATATAATGTTCACGTGTTTCAGTGTGTATAAGTGAGGACGATATTTGCGAATAAATGAGAATGAATGAAAGTACCGTTGAGTAGATGAGACAGAGATCGTAATTTTCCCGACGAGTACTCTGACAAGCCGCTTACACTAAGAAGGTCGAAAGTTGAGACTAAGCGATGTGACGTCTTCACTTCTCGCATTATTTTTTCTCAGTCTACTATATATACATATTATATATCTACACCAATGTATGAAAGCCTTTTATGTGATCTACCTTTTATAAAAAAAAATGAAAAATGAATTTCTGTATAACTATTCAAATCATGACCGAGTAGAGCTGTTCGTGATGAAAATAGCGGAAAAAAGTTTTATAGTGAGTTGATACATGCGACGAATTCCGTAACAAGTAAATTATAATGCCGGTGGTAATTAATTTTTTTTTTTACCTAGTTTGAACTAATTTCGGAAGGATGATAGCGATTATTATTAGTTATCACGCGAGTTAAATAAAATAGATTGATATGCTGATTTAGCGGCCCATTGTATACGTGACAGGAGAATCAATACCTCTTTTTTTTTGTTTTTCAATCTCTAACACACTGGTTTGCCTCCGTTGATGCTCGAGTTTGTTCTATCCAATCGACTGAACTGATTTGATTACGCCCGATTCGAAGTATTTTAGAATATCAAATTAATAAAAAAATTTTTCGCCTTTTTCACCACATATTTTTTGTTTTTTCATTCTCTCTTTTAATTTAATTTTTCAATTTTGTAATTATCAAAATTTATATCCAAACTATTTATTTGAAGAAAATTTTCAGTAAAAATTTCTCATTGCAAATTAGTCATTCACTCAACTAATTAATGAGAAACACACTTAAACTCATTAAATACTGCACACTTAAATTTACCAAATTTATTTATTCTGTGGCTGTCAGCCGTTTTCAAAGCAAATGATGTCTCAATATTTCAACCTCTGATATATACATTGAACAATTTGCTTAATAACATCTTTTTAAAAATAATTGAGAAAGATGAATAATAAATAGTAGACGGTGATAGCAAACAGAAATAACCGATGAATATATTTCAGGCTCCGGGAATATGATATTGCTCATCTCAAGGGTCCTGTGACCGAACCGGTCTCTCTCTTGTTCAGTTCAGCGTCGGCTGGTCAGAGAACCGTAAACCTCGTTATCGGCGATTAATTATGAGCTATTGAATATGGACATTGTTGACATATATGGATACGAGTCCGGCAACTTGTGTCGATATATATGTAAAAACTCGTAATCGCAGTTGTTACTCTACTCCTATATTTAACACACGATACACATATATATCCTTTATCTATAAAATTAACATATGATGACTCGTTTGCATCACGGCACAATATATATGAGTACATCGTCACACCTACTTTTAACCTAGGCATTATTAAATCCTCAATGTATACGTATTTTATCA